TCGATTTGTTGGATCTTTTTATTTTCTTTTTCTGTATCCGTTTCTTCTTCTGAAAAATCCATTTCATCTTCAGAGTTTAAGATGTATTCGTCCAATTCCCTCTCTATACATCTTAACTCTTTTTCTGCTTTTAATTTTTTCTGTTCTAATTCTTTCCTTCTTTCTTCTTTTTTCTTGTCTTCTTTTTGGTTATCCTCGTGTTCTGACCTGTACACACATTTTATAAATACATATATTAATTTGATCTTATATAATATATTCGTGTATATATGTATACGTATTCTATAATTTATATATATATATTATCAAATTAATTAAATTTTGTTACACAGTCACGAAACTAATTATCCGGACAATACTCGGAACTTTTTGTTGTCCGGACAGTTACTTTCGGGATCGTGCATTATACAGTTGCACAATCACAAAACTAATTAATTTAATAATTATTATTTAAAAAAATGTATCTACTTACATTGCTCGTTCCAGTCTTCAAGGACAGTTCCGACAATTACTAATTAGTAATAAATTAACTGCAGGCAGCTCTCAAGCTGGGCACTCTCGAGCGGGCTGGAAACAGGCTGGTAGCGGGCGGGCAGAAGGAAAGCTTGTGTCGACAGTCGACTAGCGCACACACACTAAATAAGAGTCAGCTCATGTCTGTGTGTGTTCGTATCTCGGAATAAAAAAAAATATAAAAAATAATCCATTCTGCGGTGTGAGCAGTGAATTAATATCTGAAAAGATATTCTGCGGTGTGCGCAGTGAATTAATATCTGAAAAGATATTCTGCGGTGTGCGCAGTGAATTAATATCTGAAAAGATATTCTGCGGTGTGCGCAGTGAATTAATATCTGAAAAGATATTCTGCGGTGTGCGCAGTGAATTAATATCTGAAAAGATATTCTGCGGTGTGCGCAGTGAAATCGGTAAAATGTCCTGCGCCGTACGCATAAGCGCATTCTGCATTATTGAAATGCAGTTTTTTAAATGTCTCACTACTTATCTGTA